AGACTAAAATTACGTGAAAAAGAAATTTGTGAACTCAATGTGTTGGAAATTTGCAATGAAGACCCGTAGGCCACGTAACCGATGGTTGTGACATGAAAAATCACCACTAAATAATTTTTTTATCATATTTTTTGGCATGATTTTCGTACATTGTATATTAGTATTAATATTAAAATTTTGTATTGATATATTGGGGCACTGAGTGAACCCTTAAGCAAGTTATGGGTGAAAAAGTGATCTGATGGCTAAGAGTGAGCGGTAACTTCACCAAATAAAATATACCCAGTCAAAGAACCCAAGATTTTGGATAAGATTTGGGTTAATTGACTAAATCCCATTACAATGTGATTCTTGTCCTGACATATTATCATATTATGTCTGAATGAAGACCTTACGGAAATGCAACCTGATGGTATATACACTTTGATTTAAGAAGCAATAAATATTATTAAAATATTGAATTTAAACATATGATATATATATTATATAAAAAATAATTGCATGGTTTATGAGTTTTATCTCTTTTTTTCCAAAAGCAATTGTGCTGCAAACAAAGGTTAAGTGAGAAGGATCAAATGGTTAGTGGAGCTCTCAATTAGAGCTCAACTCATTGGACCAGCCTTTTTAAACACAAAAATAGTCAAGACTAAGCCATTTATTGGAATAGAAAATGATAATTCAAGTTTAAAAGGGTAAATTTTTTAAACTTGAAAAAAAAGCCAGTCTTTTAGGGTTAGGATTAAACCTTTTAAGCCATTTTATTATTTTTTAAATTAAAATCTAAAAATATAAATTATCTAATTAAAAGAAATAAACACCCTACACTTATCTCATCAATATTTAGTTAATAATGTTAGCAAAGTTTAATTTTTATTGGTAGTAATTTTGATGTTATTATTTGATATTAAACTTAAATGTTTAAGCTTTATATATTTTGTAGCATGGATTGATTTAAGTTTATTTTTTTAAACTTAATTTTATGTCAAATAATTTTTTAAAAATCTTAAAAATAAAAAAATAAGGCTAAGGCCCTAAAGGCCAAGGCCGACCTTATAAAAAAGAGTCCTAAAATATAATTAAGCTTATCAAGGTAAACTTGTTAGGCCCTAGTCCTTTAAAGGCAAGCCCTTTAAGGTTTGGTTGATCATAATTGATAGCTCTAATGATCAATTGATAATTTTTTTGATTAATTGACATTTTTAATTTTTCAGCTGATCATATATAATAATTCTTTTTGGGTGAAATACATTATTTTTCTAATCCTATTTATAGAGTAGAGAGAGAATATTTATTTTGATTTTATTTACAAGGCATTTCAATAATAGTATATTCATCTTTACCATTTTGTGCCTATTAAATATAAGAAAGTTTATTAAATGATAAAGTATTTTATTTTAAAATAGGTATGTTTAATAAGGATAAAGTTAAATATTTGCTAAATTTTTACACAGGGTTAATAAAATTAAATTTTTTTAGTTTTAATAAAAATATTATAAATAACTGATAAATAGGACCAAAGAGAATGCATAATAATAATAATATAAATAAAATGCCTCCAAGGATACTAATAAAGATAATGCAACAAGCTAGGTGAATATTTTAAAATTTTACCCCTAACTAAGCGGAAATGAGGTATTTTTTTTTTTGAATAAAAACATTATTGAAAAAATAAAAAAAATTTACACATCCCTTATATATATATATATATATATATAGGCTGATATATTACAAATGAAGCCCGTTAAAAAAGTAACTTTAAGTAGTGAACCCTGACTTATAAAAAAGTAGTTTCATGTGGATTGTATACAATATATTGACGCAGTTACCTATTTTTAAGCATTTAATGGAATTAATTAAATAGTTATTTAAATGTAGTGACATGCAATTAAGATATTATCTTTATTTTCATTATATATCAAGTAAAATAAAAATTTATTAAATATAAATAATCTACCCTCCATTGTAATTAGCGTTCTACAGTAACCATCTGACCTATTTTTTATTTTTCATAAAAATGTTTTAATTATTAGAGAAAATAATAATTAAATTCCTTTAAATTATATAAATAATAATTTGATCTCTCAAAATGTTATAATTTCATTGAAATCTCTATGAACTTCAGTGTCAATAAATTTTAAATTAAAAAAATTATTTTATCCTTATTGATAAGTTATAATTTATTAGTTCATTCTTGTGATTCTTTAAATAAAAGTTATTATTCTTTAGATAAAAACTACAATTGAGGGTTTGTTATTTTAAAAACTTATTTTTTAATAATAAAAATTATATTTGGCAAGTTGTGATTTCTTGCTTAACTCTTGTAATTCACAGAATAAAAGTTATTATTTCTCAAGCAAAAATTGTGATTGGAGCTTGTTATTTTGAGATAGAAATTATACTTAATAAGTTATGATTTATTGTTTAATTCTTGTGATTCACAAAATAAAAATTATTATTCTTCAAGCAAGAGTTATGCATGGAGCTTGTTATTTTCAATAAAGATAAAATGATCTTTTTAATTTAAAATTTGTTATCACAAAAGTTCTTAGAGACTTCAATAAAATTATAATATTTTAAGAGATTAGATTGTTATTTATATCATTCAGGGGATTTTACTACCAATTTTTCCTAATTATTATATAGTAAATAAAAAATAAAATATTATAAGATTTTATAATAGAAAAAGGTGGCTATGGGACTCATAGGGAAAATGAGTGGTGGATTTGGAACCAATGTTAAAAACATACTCCCTCAAAATCATAATATAGAATATCTTTTAGAAATCTTACTTAATTTAAAATATAGGGTATTGATAATTTTTATGATTGTTTTTCAACTATATCCCAACTTTATTTATTACACCTTTTAAAAAAAATGATGCATTAAAATTTTAATTATTATTATTATTAAAGCATTTATGTAGAGTGTTTAATTAATAAAGATGTAATTTTTTTAAAAGAGTAAGGCTTCAACTAACTTTTTTTTAGAACCATAAAGTAATTACCAATGCTCTGCATTATGGTTCAGAGGAAATAATTTAGAAGATATTTTTTTACAAAATTATGTATACTAATAAATTTAATTAAGGGTTAAGGTGCAGAGATACTCATCAAATGGTTGATCAAAAACATCCAATAGTCTAAAGTGAGAAAAAAAGGTAAAAATACTCATAATATTATTAGAGTTAGTACATAAGTGAACAAATTGTTAACTTTTTTTTTAATACCATTAGTTTTTAATGTTAAATGCTGACTGTGCTTGTCATGTGTCAATCTTTGCTAACATTGATTAAAAAAGGCGCAAAAAATGCATGAAGTGATCAATTATAATGTTATCAAAATAAGCATCTAGTTATTGGCTAGAAACATCTAGTAACCTAAAGTAAGAAATACTAATAACGTTATCAGAGTTGGTGCAAAAGTGATCAATTCATCAAATCTATATTGATCGTTTAGTTGACACATAAGAAGAAGTTGATTATTTTTTTTTGATATTGACAATAAATATTCTCAGGTGAAATTCTATGGAGGTTAATCGGTTATCATATGAGAAAATGTCATTTTGACTAAATATTAAATCAAATCGCTTGCTTTTTTGCAGTAATGATAAAAATCATTTGAAAATTTTGAATCTCTTATGATATTTTTATCATTTTTCTCATTTTAGGCTATTAGATACGCCTGATTGATGACTTTGTGGGTGTTTTGTCTCTTTTTTTGTCCACGTCAGTAAAGACTACCACATAGCATGCATAGTTAGTATTTAACATAAGAAACAATAACGTTTGGTCAAAGTTAATGATTTTGTCACTTTTGCATAAATTCTAGTAATGTTATATGTGTTTTTTTTTTCCTTTTTTTTATTTTAAGTTATTCGATGCTTCTATTCAACTACTTGATGGGCATTTTTGCACCTTAATCCTTTAATTAAATGTATTTTACAATCTTATTGTTTTAAAGTAAAAATATAAATTTTAAAAATATTCTTCATTTAACATAACTTTATTTATAAAACTTAAATAGATAATGAAATATAATAAAGAGGGAAGGGTAATATTGAACAAGTGTAATCAATGAAACCTTAAAGCATTTTATATTCTGGAGTACTAAATTATGAGGCAGTACACATATCACAACTTACCTTTTCTTTTATTCATTTTTATAAAAAAAGAAATACTTCATGAAAATTAATGGATCTAAATTTCAGATAATCTTTTCCAAAAAAAAAAAAATCAATGGTGAGTATGAGATCTATAATAAAAATATATGTGTGAAAGGTGCAACAAAATTCAAATAAAAATTAAAAAAATTGCAAAATGGTAGGGATATAGTGCAATGACAATTTTTTATCTCTAGAATTTTAATTTATACATAATAAATTTTACAAAAATAATTTGATGCTTATTTTCAACATGCAAAAGGTAATAAATTGTACAATAAATAAATCATTTATCCTTTCATTATATAAAAGAGAAATATATCATAAAAATAAGTTGCTAATTGAAATAATTTTTAATATACATAATCAAAAAACAAGTGAATCTCGCTCTTTTGGGCTCATGTTCCTAAAGTTTTCACCTTAAAATTAGTTGTTATTAAACGAGCTTAGGTTGAGCTTGAAAACTCTTTTTTTTTAATTTTAAAAAAATTAAATTTAACATTATAATGTCATATATTCAATATTTAAAATATAAATTATATGTTTTAAAATCCAAAATATGTAACATAAATAATGGTTTTAAAATAAAAATCCTTATTTCAATATCACCCGAGTTTAAACTTGTTTTTATATTACGACTAAAAATTAATATATTCTGTCTAGTTAATATTAAACTTGGATGATGCATATATATATATATATATATATATTATACGAATACTTCAAAAATTCTCATTAGCTCATGGGAAATTCAACGATATTTGAAAACTTTTGTATATCCATGCATATTTAGACGCCCATTCCCTTCATAAATGTCATTTTCTACTTTTCAAAACTAAAGGTCGTAAGAGAAATCGCTAATTTGCAATGGCTCTACTCTCGCTTGTCAAGCACTATTTTCCCAGCTTCCAGTTAAACGGGCCGCTCTTATCTCTTTCATGCTTCATCATCGTTGTCCTGTTTTTGATCAATCTCAGAAATAGGCCAAGCCAATCCAAGTCGAATCTGAAACTGCCTCCATCCCCTCCAAAACTACCCATCATCGGCAATCTTCATCAGCTAGGCTCACTGCCTCACCACTCTTTTCGAACCCTCTCAAAAAAATACGGACCTTTGATGTTCTTACAGCTGGGTCAGACTCCAGCTGTGGTGGTTTCTTCTGCAGAATTGGCCTGCGAATTTATGAAAATCCATGACCTTACCATCGCTGATCGACCTCAAGGCATTTGTCCTAAGATCTTGCTCTATGGATGTACGGATGTTGGCTTCGGGAGCTACGGCAGTGAAGATTGGAGACAGAAGAGGAAAATCTGCGTCAACGAACTTCTTAGCCTGAGAAGGGTTCAATCGTTCAAGAACGCCAGAGAAGAAGAATCTTGGGAGTTAGTGAATAAGATACGTGGTATGTGCTTGAGTGGTGCAGATTCTGTGAACCTGAGTGAGTTGCTGATTGCTACATCCAATAATATTGTGTGTAAGTGTGTTCTTGGGGATAAGTTTAACACCGAGGCGAATACAAGGATTGGAGGGTTAGCGAGGAAGGTGATGATTAACCTTATGGCCTTCAGTGTAGGAGATTATTTCCCTTCCTTTGGTTGGGTTGATATTCTCACTGGACTCATTTTGAGGTTGAAGGCCATTTTCAAAGAGTTAGATGATTTCTTTGATCGCATCGTTGAAGAACGCAGGACCATGTTGATGAAGCGAAGCGATGACCAATCCTCCAATAGGAAATGCTTGCTCGATATTCTTCTTCAACTCCAAGACGATGGCATCCCTGACCATAGTTTCTCCCAATACGATATCAAATCAATCTTAATGGTCCCTCAAATCTCTCCCTCTAACTAGTGTGAGATTAATTTTTTTATATTCATCAATTCGTGGTGATGATGAATTGAACATTCTTGATATTGTATAGGATATGTTTGTGGGAGGAAGCGACACAAGTTCAACAGCAATGGAGTGGGCCATGGCCGAGCTGGGGATGAATCCGACGAAAATGCAGAAAGCACAGCAAGAGGTAAGACGCGTGGTGGGGAACAAGTCAAAGGTAGAAGAGCAAGACATCAATCAAATGAATTACTTGAAATGTGTGGTCAAAGAAGTTCTAAGATTGCATCCACCAACTGCTCTCATTCCTCCTAGATTATCAAGATCAAGATTGGACATGAGAGGCTACACTATTCCGGCTAAAACGACGGTGTACATCAATGCGTGGGCAATTCAAAGAGACGCAGATTTCTGGGAAAAACCAGAAGAGTTCATTCCTGAGAGATTTGAGAAGAATGATGTGGAATTCAAGGGACAAGACTTCAATTTCATACCGTTTGGTTCAGGAAGAAGAGGGTGTCCTGGGATGATGTTTGGTGTTGCTGCTGTTGAATCCGTGCTTGCTAATCTCTTGTATTGGTTTGACTGGAAGCTTCCTGATGGCAATGGTATCACTGTTCAACACATAGACATGAAGGAGACATTTGGGCTAACTGTCAGCAAAAAGATGCCACTTCATCTCAAACCAATGCCCTACTCAAAGGGTTCAGAACTAGCTAGTTAGAACTATTGTGTGGCTAAAGCATGACGGATGCTCCATTTGATCAGTGTGCTTTTACTTTTTGTTTTCTATACTTGCACTGTTGTTGAATAAATGTTGTTGATTGATTGGTGGGTGAGATCAGTACGTGATTGAAGTGGACAAATGCATCATTCTCAGGTTGATGAATTATAAAACTAAAATAGGACAAGAGATAGGATTGGCGTTTATGGCGTAAATAAAGGGCAACTGTTTTTTTTTTTTCTTTTGGGGAAACAACGACAATTTATTGCAAAAGAAACATTAGTCCTTTACAAAAAAAATGGGCCCAAAACAAACATACTTGGAGCCAAGAGAAAAACAAACAAACGAAGTAACATACAACTTATGAAAAAAAGGCCTTCAGATAACCAGCCCACAAGGCAGCCACCGTGGATAAACAAGCTGAAGCTAATTAGCGCCATCTCCAGAGGAAGGGGTACCACAAAGGTACAGTATAGAGAACAAACAATTCTCATGGTAACGGCCAACCAGCCAAGTAGCAGCAACAACATATCGGAATCCCAAAGGAATAAACGGGAAACTTGGTGTTAACTGAACTGAGGCCAAAAGCATGTAACTTGAAAGAAATAAAACACACCAACCAAACAGCTAAAGTTAAGTAGCCTGAAGGATAGAGGAAAATGATGACACCACCAATTTCATTATCTTCCATCAGCATCTGGTTCATGTGGCCGTCATGCGAGCTTTTTTGGAGCTAAAGCTCGCGAAACCCAGATCTTGACCAAAGTCCAATGCATCTGTCAGGTGAAAGTCTTGCATTTGATCCGCAGTACGACGTCGACGAACAGAACCACTACGAGAACAAACTGATGAATCCGATCCATCTGAAGTTAACCATGATTTAAACCTTTTACGAGGCTTAAAGAAGAACCTCTTGCATGCAAAGAAACTATGTTGACGAAACCAAGTGTGAGCAAGAGTTTGGCAAGGTGAGGAGAGACGAAACCGTAAGCCAAATAAAATGCACCAACCATGGTTTACTGAAGTCTTAGCAGTGACCGCGTGATCAGAACTTTGAGAGTGCTAAGGAGGTGTAGGATCACCTTGCCAGTTAGTATACTTTTGATTTGTCTAATCAGTATCAACTGTAGAAGGATTGGTTGTTCTAAAAATAAAGGTAATTCATTGTTTGAGTTTTTTTTTTAAGATGGAGGCTACGTGAGATTTACTAGCCAATCCTGAGCCTACATTTAAAAATAAAGAGGATGCTAAAGCCTTTTTCAAATGGCTAGATCAACTATGTCTCATATAATTTTTTTGGCCCTCATTGATGATTTTGAGCTTGTTTGTGCTTTTCTACTTCACCAGAGCCTACGTTTAACTCTTGAAGATGATCTTCCTTATATTCATTTCAAGAAAACTCATTTAGGTCTTCTCTAGCAAGCCCCTAACATGGCTTTCGCTGCTCCCAAAAGCAATTCTTAGGTTTGTCATTGCGACCCTCAATCTACTCATACTTTTGATTAGTGTCCATATATTGAGTGAAAAACTTGCTAAAAGAAGGGACATATTGCTGTGAACTGTCTTTCTTTGGCTTGCGTTATTGTAAGAAGCTTGGGCATCTCATTGATCAGTGCCCCACCCATTCTCCCAAACTTGATCAAGGGAGGTCGTTTAAGTCTATTTCCTCGATGTCGAAGCTTGCTATGTTTGTTACTAATAAGCTGCCTATTATTACTGCTTCCATTTTAGTATCCTTTACTACATTTGAACTTGAGTCTTTACTCTATAATATTATCTCTAGTTCTTCTAGCCCACCTGCTACCTTAGCCACACCTTCAGGGTCCTCTTCTTGGTATTTTGCTTTTGCCTATTGTAATCATATGACCAGTCAAGAACACTTCTTTTCCTCTATGTCACCTAATAACATTGATCACCCTATATACACTATTGATAACTCCCAAATGCCTGTTAGTCATATTGGTGTTGTTTCCTTACCCTCTCTGTCCATTTATGATACTTGTTTGGTCTATACCATTAGTTTTAATCTCGTATTTGTTGGCCAATTAGTTGATATGGGCTATGATGTTTTATTTAACAAACATGATGGTATTGTTTTTTATTCTCAAATAGGACATGTTATCGAGATTGGGTGTAAAGTTGGTTGAATGTTTGAGCTCAATTCCTTACATTTTCCTAAAGTTACTTCTCTTAGATTGTTTGCTACCTCTACCTCTACTTCCCTTGATTTATGGCATCGTTGTCTTGCTTATCTGTCTTTAGCTAGTTTGCATCCTTTACTTTCTAGTGGTCTTTTGAGTCAAGTTAATGTTCACTCTTTGCATTGTATTTCTTGTCAAATTGCTAAATAGCCTACCTTATCATTTAATAAAAATGACTCTCTTACTGATGAGTCTTTTGATTTAATTCATTCTGATATTTGTGGCCCATCACCTACTCTTTCTATGGGAGGCTCGTGATATTTTTGTGATTTTTATTGATGATTTTCCCCATTATACTTAGATTTACATGATGAAAATTGATATGAGTTTCCTGATATCTACCTTAAATTTGCTATAATGGTTCGCACTTAGTTCTCAAAAGTTATAAAAGTTTTTCATTGTGATAATGCCTTAGAATACCATGATTCTAAATTGCTCAAATTTCTTGATGCTCATGTTACAATCTCCTAATACTCCTGTCCTTACGCCTCTTAGCAAAATGGTTGAGCTAAAGAAAACACTGTCATATTCTTGATTTAGTTAGGGCCCTCCTCATTTCTTCTTCCTATCTTGAACGTTTTTGGGGGAAAACTACCTTAACCGCTATCTATTGTATAAATAGAGTTCGTAACCCAGTTCTTAGTAATATTTCTTCTTTCGAGAACCTTTATGGTATTCTTCCTGACTATAGTCTTTTTAAAGTTTTTGGTTGTGTTTATTTTGTTGTTTTCCCTCTATATAAAACTACCAAATTGCAAGCTCGTGCCCATATCTGTTGTTTTCTTGGTTATGATCCTAAGCATATAGGTTATCGTTATCGGGATCCCATATCTCTTTGCATTTGAATCTCTTATCATGCTATTTTTTGGGAACATATGCTATTTTCATCCTTAACCAATTTCTCCTCTATTTCTCCTTCTTTACCTTCTATTATCATATACATTTTGGTTGATCAATTTCCTAGTAACTTCAATAAAGATTCCCCTATAGAGCTTACAATTGCTGCTGTACTTGCTTTTGATCTGCCTATTATCATGCTAACACAAGTCATGTCTCCTAAGCTCATATCGTTTGATACTTGACCCCATCATGTAAGAAACCTACCCTCTTACCTTATTGATTACCATTATTTTTCCACCATTCTCCAATTATAAGAACCTAAATTCTTTAAAGAAGCCTCTTGTGATCCCTTATGGCACCAAGCTATAAGCAAAGAATTGTAGGCTTTGGAGAAAATATACTTAGGATCTTATTGATCTTCCTTTTGGTAAAACTTTGGTTGGTTACCAATGGGTGTATAAAAATAAGATTCATTTTGATGGTTCTTTAAAGCAAAGAAAGGCCCGTTTAGTGGCCTAAGGGCTTACACAGGAATATGGTGTTAATTATGAGGAGACTTTTGCACCTGTTGCATCCATGACTTCTGTTTGTAGCCTTCTAGCCATTGCTACTATTAAGTATTGGTCCTTTCATCAAATGGATGTTAAAAATGCCTTTGTGAATGGAGATCTAAAGGAAGAAGTGTATATGAAGCCTCCACTCGAGTATCAACATCTAAAAGATAAGGTTTGTTGTCTTTATCAAGCTCTATATAGACTCAAGTAGGCTCTCTGTACTTGGTTTGCCAAATTCAGTAATACTATGAGTTAACTAGGCTTCACTTGTAGTCCTCATGACTTGGTTCTTTTTGTTCAATCCACTACTCGTGGCATTGTTCTATTGTTGTTATATGTTGATGACATGATTATCATGGATAGTGATGATATTAGAGTCTAAGAGCTTAAGACATACTAGAGCCAGTAATTGGAAATGAATGATCTTGGTAGATTGAACTATTTTTTTAGGCTTGAGGTCTACTGTTGGAAAGATGGTATATCTCTTTCTTAGGTTAAATATACCACTAATTTGAATCCCGAGCTTATCTTTTTGATAAAGAGGTTGAAAATACTCCTATTGAGCCAAATGTTCATTCTATTTTCTCTGATGGCACCTTGTTGGATAATCTCACCTATTATTGCCAGCTAGTTGGAGGTCTCATCTATCTTACCATGATTCACCCTGACATAGCTTATGCAGTCTATATTGTCAACCAATTTATGTCAAATCCTCAAACTACTCATTATGCAGTAATTCTTTGGATCATTTGGTACATCAAAGGCACTCTATATTATGGGCTTCACTTCTCTGCTAGCTCTTCTTTTAAATTATGAGCTTATTTGGATGCTGATAGGGTAGTGATCGTGATAATCGAAGGTCTACGATTGGTTTTTATATCTTCTTCAATTATTTCCTTATCTCTGGAAAAGTAAGAAGTAGATGTTAGTCTCTCGACCTAGTATTGAATTAGAATATTATGCACTAGTAGACACAACTATTGAGCTTAGTTACTTAATGAACTAGAAGCATCTCAAAGCTCCTCCACAGACATCTATTATGATAGTCAAGCTATGACCAAGATTGCTCACAATGATGTGTTTCATGAGCAAATCAAACATATTGAAATTGACTCTTAGTTTACTCAGTAGCATGTTGTTTGAGTCATCATTTAATTTGTTCCAATTTGAACCAAGCATCGGCTGATAGACTTGTTTATAAAGTCCTTTCATCCATGCTACTTTCATTTTCTAGTAGACAAACTCAAATTTCTCTTTGTTAAGCTATCTTGAATTTGAGGGGAGATGTTATCTGAAATATTCCCTAAATATTCTATCATTATTGTGTTTATATATCAGTCATTATTATAAGATATGATTTAGTATTATTATGCAATTATTATTCATTATTGGGTTATCGATTTATTGGTGTATATAATGTACTATTCAGCTTAGTAACACACAAGATATTTTTTCATATTTCTCTTGATTGTTTCATCACCCATACCAGAAACAAAGCATGAATAATTATCCAAGCTACTATGATAAT